CCGGCCCTCCCCAGCAAGGACACTCACAATACCAGCCCTCCCCAGCAAGGACACTCACAATACCAGCCCTCCCCGGCAAGGACACTCACAATACCAGCCCTCCCCGGCAAGGACACTCACAATACCGACCCTCCCCAGCAAGGACACTCACAATACCGGCCCTCCCCGGCAAGGACACTCACAATACCAGCCCTCCCCAGCAAGGACACTCACAATACCGGCCCTCCCCAGCAAGGACACTCACAATACCAGCCCTCCCCGGCAAGGACACTCACAATGCCAGCCCTCCCCGGCAAGGACACTCACAATACCGGCCCTCCCCAGCAAGGACACTCACAATACCGGCCCTCCCCAGCAAGGACACTCACAATACCAGCCCTCCCCAGCAAGGACACCCACAATACCAGCCCTCCCCGGCAAGGACACTCACAATACCAGCCCTCCCCGGCAAGGACACTCACAATACCAGCCCTCCCCGGCAATGACACAATACCGGCCCTCCCCAGCAAGGACACTCACAATACCAGCCCTCCCCGGTAAGGACACTCACAATACCAGCCCTCCCCGGCAAGGACACTCACAATACCGGCCCTCCCCAGCAAGGACACTCACAGTACCAGCCCTCCCCAGCAAGGACACTCACAATACCAGCCCTCCCCGGCAAGGACACTCACAATACCGGCCCTCCCCAGCAAGGACACTCACAATACCAGCCCTCCCTGGCAAGGACACTCACAACACCAGCCCTCCCCGGCAAGGACACTCACAATACCGGCCCTCCCCAGCAAGGACACTCACAATACCAGCCCTCCCCAGTAAGGACACTCACAATACCAGCCCTCCCCGGCAAGGACACTCACAATACCGGCCCTCCCCAGCAAGGACACTCACAATACCAGCCCTCCCCAGCAAGGACACTCACAGTGGTAGCTCCCACAGTAAGGACACTTACAGTGCCGGCCTCCCTAGCAAGGACACTCACAATGCCGGCCTCCTCAGCAAGGACACGCACAATACCGGCCTCCCCAGCAAGGAAATTCACAATACCGGTCTTTCCCAGGAAGGACACTCACAATACCGACCCTTCCCGGCCTCCCCAGCAAAGACACTCACAATACAGGCCCTCCCCAGCAAGGACACTTACAATACCGACACTGCCCAGCAAGGACACTCACAGTGCTGGCCCTCCCCAGCAAGAACACACAGAACCGGCCCTCCCCAGCAAGGACACTCACAATACCAGCCCTCCCCGGCAAGGACACTCACAATACCGGCCCTCCCCAGCAAGGACACTCACAATACCGGCCCTCCCCAGCAAGGACACTCACAATACCAGCCCTCCCCGGCAAGGACACTCACAATACCAGCCCTCCCCAGCAAGGACACTCACAATACCGGCCCTCCCCAGCAAGGACACTCACAATACCAGCCCTCCCCAGCAAGGACACTCACAATACCAGCCCTCCCCAGCAAGGACACTCACAATACCGGCCCTCCCCAGCAAGGCCACTCACAATACCAGCCCTCCCCAGCAAGGACACTCACAATACCGGCCCTCCCCAGCAAGGACACTCACAATACCAGCCCTCCCCAGCAAGGACACTCACAATACCAGCCCTCCCCAGCAAGGACACTCACAATACCAGCCCTCCCCAGCAAGGACACTCACAATACCAGCCCTCCCCAGCAAGGACACTCACAATACCAGCCCTCCCCAGCAAGGACACTCACAATACCGGCCCTCCCCAGCAAGGACACTCACAATACTAGCCCTCCCCAGCAAGGACACTCACAATACCAGCCCTCCCCGGCAAGGACACTCACAATACCAGCCCTCCCCGGCAAGGACACTCACAATACCAGCCCTCCCCAGCAAGGACACTCACAATACCAGCCCTCCCCAGCAAGGACACTCACAATACCAGCCCTCCCCGGTAAGGACACTCACAATACCGGCCCTCCCCAGCAAGGACACTCACAATACCAGCCCTCCCCAGCAAGGACACTCACAATTCCAGCCCTCTACAGCAAGGACACTCACAATACCGGCCCTCCCCAGCAAGGACACTCACAATACCAGCCCTCCCCATCAAGGACACTCACAATACCAGCCCTCCTCAGCAAGGACACTCACAATACCGGCCCTCTCCAGCAAGGACACTCACAATACCAGCCCTCCCCAGCAAGGACACTCACAATACCATCCCTCCCCGGCAAGGACACTCACAATACCGGCCCTCCCCAGCAAGGACACTCACAATACCAGCAAGGACACTCACAATACCAGCCCTCTACAGCAAGGACACTCACAATACCGGCCCTCCCCAGCAAGGACACTCACAATACCAGCCCTCTACAGCAAGGACACTCACAATACCAGCCCTCCCCATCAAGGACACTCACAATACCAGCCCTCCTCAGCAAGGACACTCACAATACCGGCCCTCTCCAGCAAGGAAACTCACAATACCAGCCCTCCCCAGCAAGGACACTCACAATACCATCCCTCCCCAGCAAGGACACTCACAATACCGGCCCTCCCCAGCAAGGACACTCACAATACCAGCCCTCCCCAGCAAGGACCTCACAATACCAGCCCTCCCCAGCAAGGACACTCACAGTACCAGCCCTCCCCAGCAAGGACACTCACAGTACCAGCCCTCCCCAGCAAGGACACTCACAATACCAGCCCTCCCCAGCAAGGACACTCACAATACCAGCCCTCCCCAGCAAGGACACTCACAATACCAGCCCTCCCCAGCAAGGACACTCACAATACCATCCCTCCCCAGCAAGGACACTCACAGTACCAGCCCTCCCCAGCAAGGACACTCACAATACCAGCCCTCCCCAGCAAGGACACTCACAGTACCAGCCCTCCCCAGCAAGGACACTCACAGTACCAGCCCTCCCCAGCAAGGACACTCACAATACCAGCCCTCCCCAGCAAGGACACTCACAGTACCAGCCCTCTCCAGCAAGGACACTCACAATACCAGCCCTCCCCAGCAAGGACACTCACAATACCAGCCCTCCCCAGCAAGGACACTCACAATACCAGCCCTCCCCAGCAAGGACACTCACAGTACCAGCCCTCCCCAGCAAGGACACTCACAGTACCAGCCCTCCCCAGCAAGGACACTCACAGTACCAGCCCTCCCCAGCAAGGACACTCACAGTACCAGCCCTCCCCAGCAAGGACACTCACAATACCAGCCCTCCCCAGCAAGGACACTCACAATACCAGCCCTCCCCAGCAAGGACACTCACAATACCAGCCCTCCCCAGCAAGGACACTCACAGTACCAGCCCTCCCCAGCAAGGACACTCACAATACCAGCCCTCCCCAGCAAGGACACTCACAGTACCAGCCCTCCCCAGCAAGGACACTCACAGTACCAGCCCTCCCCAGCAAGGACACTCACAATACCAGCCCTCCCCAGCAAGGACACTCACAGTACCAGCCCTCCCCAGCAAGGACACTCACAGTACCAGCCCTCCCCAGCAAGGACACTCACAATACCAGCCCTCCCCAGCAAGGACACTCACAATACCAGCCCTCCCCAGCAAGGACACTCACAATACCAGCCCTCCCCAGCAAGGACACTCACAATACCAGCCCTCCCCAGCAAGGACACTCACAGTACCAGCCCTCCCCAGCAAGGACACTCACAGTACCAGCCCTCCCCAGCAAGGACACTCACAGTGCAGGGAACGAAACAGTATTTACGAGTTACCATCTGTCATTTGGCTAGATATTTGCAAGTCAGATGCTTGTTTACGAGCAAGCAGGTGGGCGATACAGCCACACTCCCAGAAACCAGCTTAAAACCGAATTACAGGCTAACACTGACACTTCATCGAGATTCGAACTCTGGATTATTGGGTTTTCTGGCCGGTATGATAACCACTCTGCCGACAGTATTTAAATTTCCACATGAATTGAATCCTTTCCCCTTAGCAAAGTAGTTACTGTTATTCAGTTGTACCTCAGTTCAATATATACATTTTTGTGCTACACGGGTATGTGTGGTATATACATTCAGTATTGTAGTATATTCTAACATGGTTTACGCTTATCGTCGAGGTACACACACACACTTTTTTCGTTTTTTTACTGAAAAGTAGCATTGATTTAAGGTAGGTAAGGTTTGCCTCACTAAACTTGTGGAATTCTATGACAGAATAATGGAAATCGAAGAACAAGACAAAGATGGATCGACTGCAAATTCTTAGAATGTAGGAAAGTAGTTGACATTGTAGCCCACCAGTGATTGACTCACAGATTAAAGGAGTACGCAGGGATACCAGGTGAAGTCCTCAAGTGGATCAAGGAATACCTAACGAATGAAAGAAAAAGGGTGATGGCAGATGTTTCAGGATGGGAAAGCTTAACAAGTGGGGTTCCTCAAGGACTGCCTCTTAAGTATCATTGGATAACTAAAGTGTAATAAACACTTGTCAGTGCTCAATAAAAAACCACATGGAGACAGAAACACACAAGATCACTTTGGTCTATATTTCGATCCCTTCCTGGGATCCTCTTCTCATTTTACGTCAGTGAAATGAGAACAAGAATGTATAAGGAAGGTTGCACCTCACCGACCCATTGACTAAGTATCATTGTTTGCTGACGACGCAAAACTAATGAGTAGAATACAAACAGAAGAGGATAAATAGAGGTTGCAGATGGATTTGGACCAGCTGCATGAATGGTCAAACAAGTGAATAGTGGGGATCAACTCAAAGTGCATGGTCATGAAAATTGGAGATGCAGAGAGGCGTACCAGACACGCAACGCAGCTCGGGAGGAGAGAAACTTTAATTGCTGTTAAGGAGAAGGGTCTTGGAGTAAGCATCACACCCAGCATATCACCAGATACACACACATATGTGCACCACGTACACGGGCTGAAGTATAACATGCAACAATAGTTGTGTTGTCCTCTTTCTCTCTCTCTCTCTCTCTCTCTCTCTCTCTCTCTCTCTCTTTGTCTTACCGTGGCGAGAAAGGTCTGGGAGAGGCCACCATCGTGCCCAGGCACGCAGGAGACACCTAGCGACGTGGCACTCTGGTTAACCAGGGAACAGGACAGGGGTTCATCTGGAGGACCTGTAAAGAAAACACACTGCATGTTAGAGCAGCCAGAGCCTGGTCAACATTGTCCAGTAACGTAATGGAAACTACGTAAATTATTATTATTATTAGTAGTAGTAGTAGTAGTAGCAGTATTGTTAGTAGTAACAGTATTAAAAGTAGCAGTAGTGCTAGTAGTACTAGAAGCAGTTGTAGTAGTAGTAGTGATACTTGTTGTTCTTGTAGTAGCAGTAACAAACGTTTTAGTAGTAGTAATACTATTTGCATATAGAAATACTAAATATGTCGGATTAATGTCGCATCTGAGGACCTGAAGGTAATTACCGTTCATTACAAGAAGGGGGGAGGGGGTAACTCTAGTTCCGTGCATCACGGCACTTTCCCTACGAAGGGCGAAACATCGTATAGAGCAAGGGGTTCCCAACCTGCGGCTCGAGGGCCACATATGGCCCTTCTAGGAAATAGATGCAGCCATCACGTGATATTACGACTACACTTACATAAGTTCCACATCGCACATTGAACAGACAAGATATTTAAACCATTTTAGACTAAAACCTTAACGTCATCTCTAACAACTACCTTTCGCCTCTGGTCAGTGCCACCCTATTAGCACCCTATTTACCGTCAATAATTGGTAGTTACATTAATCATTTACTTTTCTCTTTCCTTTACAGTGCCTCTATGATTTAGCCTCATATATTTCATCAAAATTAAAATACAATATTTCTGTCTATAACAAAACTTAAGTAATTTATCAATGTTACTTCTTACAACTGTCACTATAATTATTTTATCATAATTATTATTATTATTATAATTATTTTACCTTATAATTATTATAATAATTAATATTGTAATTATTTTACGATACTATTAAAATTATTATTATAAATATAATGTTAACATCGATCATTGGAAAATTCGGCCCTTCTTTAAATATGCCTTTTCAAATTGGCCTTTTTTACGCTAAAACTTTGGAAATTCTTGGTATAGAGACATTTAAAATAGTGTTTCTGTCACGCTGGAGGAAGTTACGCAACGTTTCGCTCTTGGGTACAGCTTGATAAAGCTCTAAAAAGAGCGAAATGTTGTCCCAGTGAAATCTTAAGTGTTCAGATGTAACTGAAAGAATGATGTTATTTTAAGTTTAGCTGAGAACACATAACAACGTCCAGGACGATGTTACTTAATAATATTGCCCAATATAAATATTTTTCGCTCGACTCTGGGCACATTTCAGCCCATGTTTATGGGTGAATTTCGTCCCAAATCATTATCATTTTACGGCCGGTTTTTGCGTGCGTTGTAAAAATCCTTCCTGGCTCTCGTTTTCTTATTTGCTTCTACTTGTTATTCTATTTTTTATTAATTGCTTTCATCATTATTCCTGTTTATTTGTTTTTATCATTATTCCTGTTTGTTATTGGTTTATCTTTACTATCTTTATTATTTTATCTTTACTGTTTATTATTGGTTTATCTTTGTTTATTATTTGTTTTGGTCATTATTCCTCTTTAATCTTCGCTTCTTCCATTATTCTTGTTTATTTTGTGTTGTATGTGTTTATCATTATTCCTGTTATATTATCTACTTCTATCATTCTTCTTCCTTTATTTTATTGCTTATTAACTTTATTCATGCTGCGTTATTTGAGTCTTTAATTTTTACCTGTTTTGTTCTTTCTATCTTCCTTCCTTCATTAACATTTCCTTCAAATATTCATCATTCATCTCTATTTCTTTCGTAATTCACATTATTTTCTTCATTCACATCTAAGTATTTTTCATATGCGGTTCAACATGAGCATCGATGCACCAGAGACTAATATAAAAAAAATCACATTTTTATTATGGATGTAAGTCACGCATTTACCCCAATTCAGGGAACGTTAGGGAAGATTTATTGGGAAAACAGGACGAACATTACATAGGTTTCAACTTAAACATTTGGTGGCGTGTTTTTCATATTCGTCAAAATTTGTCGTGTATTCAACTCCCAGCATACATAAGGGGGATTGCCTATAGACCCCTGATGTCTTCAAGAAGGCACTGGACAGGTATCTAAAGTCAGTACCTGACCAACCAGGCTGTGGTTCGTACGTCACTTTGCGTGCGGTCGGTTGATCAGACCGTGATCCACCATGAGGTCTGGTCTCAGACCGGGCCGCGGGGGCGTTGACCTCCGGAACACTCTCCAGGTAAACTCCAGGTATATTACGCCGTATTATTAACTATTATTAATGAGGGTAGTTTAAAAGAGTAGCTATGAACAAGTGTCACTTTGTTGAGCAAAGATGTAATGTATTACAGCGATTTATTTTTGTTTTGTTTTGTTTGTCTAAATTTTCCGTCTGGTGACTTTCACTCGTCCAACTAGCACATTCTTGCTTCCGTCTGGTGACTTTCACTCGTCCAACTAGCACATTCTTGCTTCCGTCTGGTGACTTTCACTCGTCTAACTAGCACATTCGTGCTTCCGTCTGGTGACTTTCACTCGTCCAACTAGCACATTCTTGCTTCCGTCTGGTGACTTTCACTCGTCCAACTAGCACATTCGTGCTTCCGTCTGGTGACTTTCACTCGTCCAACTAGCACATTCTTGCTTCCGTCTGGTGACTTTCACTCGTCCAACTAGCACATTCTTGCTTCCGTCTGGTGACTTTCACTCGTCCAACTAGCACATTCTTGCTTCCGTCTGGTGACTTTCACTCGTCCAACTAGCACATTCTTGCTTCCGTCTGGTGACTTTCACTCGTCCAACTAGCACATTCTTGCTTCCGTCTGGTGACTTCACTCGTCCAACTAGCACATTCTTGCTTCCGTCTGGTGACTTTCACTCGTCCAACTAGCACATTCTTGCTTCCGTCTGGTGACTTTCACTCGTCCAACTAGCACATTCTTGCTTCCGTCTGGTGACTTTCACTCGTCCAACTAGCACATTCTTGCTTCCGTCTGGTGACTTTCACTCGTCCAACTAGCACATTCTTGCTTCCGTCTGGTGACTTTCACTCGTCCAACTAGCACATTCTTGCTTCCGTCTGGTGACTTTCACTCGTCCAACTAGCACATTCTTGCTTCCGTCTGGTGACTTTCACTCGTCCAACTAGCACATTCTTGCTTCCGTCTGGTGACTTTCACTCGTCCAACTAGCACATTCTTGCTTCCGTCTGGTGACTTTCACTCGTCCAACTAGCACATTCTTGCTTCCGTCTGGTGACTTTCACTCGTCCAACTAGCACATTCTTGCTTCCGTCTGGTGACTTTCACTCGTCCAACTAGCACATTCTTGCTTCCGTCTGGTGACTTTCACTCGTCCAACTAGCACATTCTTGCTTCCGTCTGGTGACTTTCACTCGTCCAACTAGCACATTCTTGCTTCCGTCTGGTGACTTTCACTCGTCCAACTAGCACATTCTTGCTTCCGTCTGGTGACTTTCACTCGTCCAACTAGCACATTCTTGCTTCCGTCTGGTGACTTTCACTCGTCCAACTAGCACATTCTTGCTTCCGTCTGGTGACTTTCACTCGTCCAACTAGCACATTCTTGCTTCCGTCTGGTGACTTTCACTCGTCCAACTAGCACATTCTTGCTTCCGTCTGGTGACTTTCACTCGTCCAACTAGCACATTCTTGCTTCCGTCTGGTGACTTTCACTCGTCCAACTAGCACATTCTTGCTTCCGTCTGTGACTTTCACTCGTCCAACTAGCACATTCTTGCTTCCGTCTGGTGACTTTTCACTCGTCCAACTAGCACATTCGTGCTTCCGTCTGGTGACTTTCACTCGTCCAACTAGCACATTCGTGCTTCCGTCTGGTGACTTTCACTCGTCCAACTAGCACATTCTTGCTTCCGTCTGGTGACTTTCACTCGTCCAACTAGCACATTCTTGCTTCCGTCTGGTGACTTTCACTCGTCCAACTAGCACATTCTTGCTTCCGTCTGGTGACTTTCACTCGTCCAACTAGCACATTCGTGCTTCCGTCTGGTGACTTTCACTCGTCCAACTAGCACATTCTTGCTTCCGTCTGGTGACTTTCACTCGTCCAACTAGCACATTCTTGCTTCCGTCTGGTGACTTTCACTCGTCCAACTAGCACATTCTTGCTTCCGTCTGGTGACTTTCACTCGTCCAACTAGCACATTCTTGCTTCCGTCTGGTGACTTTCACTCGTCCAACTAGCACATTCTTGCTTCCGTCTGGTGACTTTCACTCGTCCAACTAGCACATTCTTGCTTCCGTCTGGTGACTTTCACTCGTCCAACTAGCACATTCTTGCTTCCGTCCTGGTGACTTTCACTCGTCCAACTAGCACATTCTTGCTTCCGTCTGGTGACTTTCACTCGTCCAACTAGCACATTCTTGCTTCCGTCTGGTGACTTTCACTCGTCAACTAGCACATTCTTGCTTCCGTCTGGTGACTTTCACTCGTCCAACTAGCACATTCTTGCTTCCGTCTGGTGACTTTTCACTCGTCCAACTAGCACATTCTTGCTTCCGTCTGGTGACTTTCACTCGTCCAACTAGCACATTCTTGCTTCCGTCTGGTGACTTTCACTCGTCCAAACTAGCACATTCTGCTTCCGTCTGGTGACTTTCACTCGTCCAACTAGCACATTCTTGCTTCCGTCTGGTGACTTTCACTCGTCCAACTAGCACATTCTTGCTTCCGTCTGGTGACTTTCACTCGTCCAACTAGCACATTCTTGCTTCCGTCTGGTGACTTTCACTCGTCCAAACTAGCACATTCTTGCTTCCGTCTGGTGACTTTCACTCGTCCAACTAGCACATTCTTGCTTCCGTCTGGTGACTTTCACTCGTCCAACTAGCACATTCTTGCTTCCGTCTGGTGACTTTCACTCGTCCAACTAGCACATTCTTGCTTCCGTCTGGTGACTTTCACTCGTCCAACTAGCACATTCTTGCTTCCGTCTGGTGACTTTCACTCGTCCAACTAGCACATTCTTGCTTCCGTACTGGTGACTTTCACTCGTCCAACTAGCACATTCTTGC